TTGCTTCGCCCATAACCCCGCATTCAGAATGCAATATTAACCCTTAAGCAGGACCTGATAACAAAGGTGGAATTCAACGTATGACATGTTTAAACGAATTTTAGATCTTGTTTTGCCATTTGTATCTGCAAGATATGTATAGATTGTGAAAACAATGACTGCTGATGAATATGAGTCATTTACTACCAAAGGATGGTTTACAATACGACGATCCGATAAGTTTTGGTGTGGTACGTGGTCAGATATGACTATTGAACAATCGTTGATGACCGAGGAGTCACGGACAACGTGCTTACAATGTGTACAATGGAAATAGAAAATTAATCCTCATATGGCACAAGAACTTCTTTCAAAACTCTACCAATTTGTAAAACTACCGCTAATACTGCCAGATGATTGGACTAATTAGACATAATTAATGACGTAACAATAGAAATTAGTAGCGAGACGAAAGTAACCGGCTCTAAAATTATTTTATTAAGTGACGATTTAAAAATACTATAGTAAATTGTAAAACCTGTAAAAAAGATATTGTGCAACTTATTTCGCAGTTATCACAAACCGAAGAAGTCCAAGCATCAGAAGTAGAGTCGGAATATACAAGGGTATCCCCAAGAAGCATACTGATGTATTTTGAACTTGCAATGATGAGCGCTGTGCGAGACGGTTTTAGATACAAATCGAGTTACTGGACTCAATTTCTCCGAGGAGCCAGACTGCTGAGGTGGAGGGTGGCGGAATTCTAAACGACCAGAAGGTGACCATCTACGACGTCAAAAATTTGCGAGTCTCAGAAAAAATTCCACGGTTCGACATCGACCGAATCAAGTTCAACAAACTCCCGCCGAATCAAGAGACTTCATTCGTAAGGTAAAAGACAATATTCCTTTATACGAATTAAATCCAACGGCGTACGCATTTTAAAACACGCGGTTATTTTAGGCGAGAATTAATGACAATTAATTTACAAAGTTCGAATTTAACCCGGGAACAAGTGCTAAAGTATTTTCCAAAATTAAAATTGTTTAGGTGGTGTCGGTTTCTTTTTAGGTTCGTCGTAACTGTAATTATTTGCTTTATTTGTGTTTATGTTTTGAGACGTGGAATGCCTGTATTGTGTTGATCCTTTTCGGTATTGTTGTTGATAGTTGCTCGTCTGTCCGCCTAGTCGAGGGAGGTGGCCGTCGCTTGGGCGGACTCTTGTAGTTTCCCTGATTCTGTGAAAAGGGTTTCCTTTGTAAGGTTGGGGTCTTCTTCTGTTTTAAATCCAAACCCGAGTTCTCCATAGCCTTGGCCTCCGTTGGCCTCCGTTATCCTATCAGATAAATGTTTACCAAACAAAACTCATCGCTGCGGGCTTCCAGAATAACATCCTTCAGCTCTTTTCGAAAATTCAGGTTAAGCAAACTCTTCCTCGCTTTTGACTGTTGTGCAGTCACGCATCTCCCGTTAAGCCTATCCATTCTAGATACGCTCCCTCCTCTTTTTCCTCTGCTGCGAGGGTGTAAGTGTATGTGTGATTAGTTTGAGTTCAAAGGGTTTTAAAAGGCAAGTAGCTGCGATATCCCGTACGTTATTTAATATCATCTTAGTAGTAATTGTAAGAAAGCAAACTATGTAAATCCGTTTTACATTGTGTTCGGCGTTGTTTACTTATCTTTCAATCAATTTAAATGAATTAGTGCAACATTAAACACGGAGTTAAACACTTTAAAGCATTACTATCTTTTTCGATGACAAAAGCTATAAATACATAGTACAATCACTCAGGAAACCTCGCAGGAATAAATCTTGGGAGGCGCTAAAAACTCCTTGTTTTTGTACATTTACTGACTGTTTTAAATTTAGGTTTTTTTATATACAAGAATATGTAAAAAAAAAACAGACTATATACATCATGAAAATGTAGACTCCGCGAGACCCCGGCACTTTCCTTATTTAAAAAACTAAATGTGGATATTTCGTTTACTCAAAAAAGCGAGTAAAAAAGTAAAAACGAAATATCCACATTTTCGTTGTTTTGCAATAAAACCAAAATTACAGTAAATCTGAAAAGTGGGTATTACTAGATTGCAATATGCAACTTGTCTTTGCTATGAATTATACATTTGTACTTACTTGTATAAAAATTGATTTTGTAGCAAACGAAATGGAAAACAACAATTCTGAAATGGATACCACACAGTCTGTAGAAGATTTTGCAAAGGAAGCAGGTGCAATTATACCGGAGAATCTACTACTACTTTTAAGATATTGTGGGTGGGAACATATGCAAACTTTTGCAAAAATTGAAGAGAAAGACATTGATGAAATGGAAAAATTTGCCCAAGAAGATTTGTTTCAGTTGTTAGAGCCTACTGAAATTGGAAAATTTTATGGAATATTTACTAAAAAACCTTCAATATTTAAAATCTTGAGGGGGCACAGAGTGCAACTGTTACAATTAAAAGAAAATTATTGTAAAAAAATAAACGGGAAACGAAAGAGTTACTGCAATAACGAAGGCGTCCGAAAAAGACAGGCGTTGAGTAGTAGTACTGCTAATATACAACAAACGTCGACTAATTATGCAAATGTTAATGAAAATGATGAGATAATGCATTTAACTCGGTAAAAATTATTTGAAAACTCTTAACAACAACGATATTGACGTCGATATTAAAATAGAAATAAATATCGCCATTCAACCAGATTGTGCATATATCTATTGTCCTACAGCAAAATAAAAGTAATAAAAGCGACTGGTAAATATGGCAAAAAATGGATAACTTCCAATTTTAATACGCATTTGCGAAGCCATACAAAAGAACCTCGAAAAGAACTTAATAAAAAAAACTACACCGAATTGTCAAAGCAGCAGTACAATACGAAAATATTTTAATCCAGAATCTGCCGAACTGTTTCAAAAGAAAGAATCACAAAAAATTGCTCAAGTTGATGAGCAGGCTTTTCCCAAGAAAACTGTTAACGTAATACACGATGTAATGTTAACTCCTGAATTGACTGTAAGATTGTCTAAACATTTTGCTACAAGCTTTGCGGATTAAAATATGTCAAATTCTGCTGAAATCTTAATTAAATCTGCCGAAAAGAATAGTAACGCAAAGCCCAATAATAACCGATTTGACCAAGAATTTAAAAAGTTTTCCTTTATATTTTTCTAATAGGTGGCAAACTTCTGTATGAAACGTTAGCGGCAAACCTTCCCAACACTTTGCCGTCATTATCAAATGTTCGGCGAACATTGAGCGAAACTATGACGGTAGAAGAGGAAACGTTACACATTTCTGCCTTAAAGAAATATTTGCAGGACAGAAAACTTCCAATGAAGGTTTTTTTTAAGTGAAGACCAAACTGCCGTCTTGAAGAGAATCCAATACGATAATCATTCAGATAAACTGGTTGGGGTGGTACTTCCAATGGACAGTTCTACAGGCTTTCCTCAAAACGACAAATTTATAGTAACTTCTGCAAAAATGATTCAAGAAACATTCTTAAAAGAAATTATGTCCAACAATGCGTACGTCTTTATGGCGCAGCCTTTGCAAGACGACATTCCTGCTTTTTGCTTATGCGTATTTGGTAGCAGTAATCAATTTAACTTTCAAGACGTTCTGAAGAGATGGAATTTTTTAGAAGAAACCGCTAGGGAAAATGGAATTATCGTAGTAGGATTTTCTTCGGACGGCGACACTCGATGTTTAAAAGCTATGCGAGTGGTTAGTCCCTTTTTAGGTCCCACGAGTGAGACCACCAGCATCGGTGAATATTCCCCATATTTTAAAGTACGTACCTGTACATACTTCAAATTATTGTTTTCAGAAAGCAAGAAGACGGATGCTGCTGTACCTAATCGTGAAAAAGATGGCCAATGGGAGGCATTAACCGAAAAATTCAATGCAGTGGTTGGCACGGGCCGATCATGCAAGCAACTGCGAATGAAGTGGGATTCCTTCAAGAAAACAACAAGGAAACAGTATTCTTTAAAAAAAGCCAGTTTATATCAAACAGGTGGTGGGCCGGGTTGTGGGACCGGTTCCGATTTTTTTTTCGGTTCAAACGGTCCGGACCTATTGGAATAACGGTTCTGGTTCACATTTATAACGGTTCTAGTTCTAAACGTAATTGTGTTCAATCTTTTTAACGCATTTCCAAGGAAAGGGGGCGCTATTGTAGCCACTTTCTCTGTCCGAGGCCTTAACTATATACTCCTACAGTTTTCAAGATATTTAGTTCATTGTTTTTGCATTTGGTAGTTTATGGCTCTAGCACCTGAGCCAAGAAAAATCTAGACGATTAATGTGCGATGCGCAGGCTGCGCATTATCAACATTCTTATTTGTTAAGATATTTATTGGAAATTTTAAGCACAGATGCTTGTAGTAAAGGCAAACATATCGTAAATGACCTTTTGGGAGGTACTGATCAATACATGAAAAATTGGAAAATGTGCTAACGTTACTCGCCTTTGGGCAGAAACCTTTTTACTTATTTTACTTCATATTGGTTTATTTACCTTCAGTTCAAGTGAAAAATGGTTATCAATTACGCATGAGTAAAAACACCGAAATCTGCTTAACTGAGCTGCTTACCTGGTTCAAAATGACAATGGACTTGGTCAAGAGATGAACCTATATCACAGAGTGACAGACACATACAGAAAAAAAATTTCATTTCTACTATTAGTACTACATTAATTTTAACACTTTTAAATCTATAATATGTATATTGAATTATTTATTAATGAAAATAATTATTAATAGAACGTTGTTTTTTATTTTTATTTGCTGCTGCCTGTTGCTCTTCCTGTTCTCCTTTCCTTTTATTTTGGGCCAAATCTTGAGGTGCAGCGTCAGTATGAATTGGAATTGAAAATCTAAAAAACATTTATCATTTAAATAATTTTTACACTATTGTGGGGCTTACTGGGTAACTTTGTTTTTCTTTTTATTAAAATTTTTGTTGCTGCGGATAAAAATTTGTTGCTCCAAAATTTTCGCTTTAACCTTGTTTCTTAATGGAGACAAAATAAATTTTAAGCCTGAAAATAAACGTTCAACGCTAACCTGCGTTGCAGGAAATGCAAGTACAATATGTGCCAAAATGTACAATTCAGGATGCGAGTGTTTATTCATACTCCAAAATTTCAACACATCACTCTTCCTGTTTATTCTAGGTTGCTCGCATTCGTAATTGTTTAGAAGACAATCAATTGGTTTTTGTTGTTCCTCTTGTACTGATTTGGATCCGCCTGATTTAATACTCGTAGGATGCAGTGACTTTCGTACAGCAACTTGCCTTTCCTTTTCCTTTAATAGTTCCTCGAAATCATCAACCGCCGACGTGTCAGTGTCAGTTGAACTTTCTGCAGCTATTGAAGGAACAATAGCTTCCTTATACATAAGCAAATGATACCATACTTCCTTCAAGTGACTCTTTGCTTTTTTGCATTGCTCCTTATCTAACATAATTTTATATCTAGGGTCAAGGAAAATAGCAGCTAAAATTACGTTATTTCCAAGCAGATCTTTTTCACGAACATTCATATTAGACACTATTATATTTGAAAAAGTTGAGTTAATTTTATTGGTTTCCATTTTACATTCAAGCCAATAACCATAAAAGTCGCTTAGTGTGAGTTGCTCACGTTGGAGCTTTTTTGTACATATATAGGCAGGTAGCAATGCTTGGCAAATATGATTAACTTTTGTCCACTCTAATTCGGAAAAATTTTCAAATTTATCACTTGATGTAATTGACATTTCCAAGCAAAATTCTTTTAAATCTAGCAAACTTTCCAACATCTTCATAGTTGACCCCCATCTTGTTACACAGTCAATTACAGGTTTTTTTAAATTCTGTTTTTTAATCATATACAAATATGTTTGAGTTCTAAGTTTTTTAATTATGTGCCTTGCTTTTAGAATTAAGGCAGCTACAGATTTATCTTTACTTAATGCTCCTTCTACTGCAAGTTGAAGGGTATGAGCCGCACAACGCATACCTAAAATTTATTTCCGATTAATTGCACATTGTTAAAATTAAGTGACGGTTGAATTTTTCGAAATGTAAGTACAAGCATTTTATTGATACCAAGCAATCTTGTCATTGTCAAGTTAACCAACGGAATGGCTGTGATGTCCCCATACACTTAGAGAAACATTTCTACATAGCTACATTCATTTCGAGTTTTCAACTTAAATTTCAACCTCGATTTCAACTTACCCGTAATAAATACATGGTAGTTTAAATGGGATGGAAACGGATCACCTTCTTGTGGTTGCAAAAGATTAGTTAAATTGAGTATATCATCATCAGGAAATGAATTTAGTAAGGATTCTTGTGCTTCATCGTCTATTTCCAAATCTTGAGCTTCATCTTCATCCATTTCAACAATTTCCAAGTCTCCGTTACTTGTTGCCAACGATTTAATGGCCTTAATCATATTAGAACCATTATCCGTTGTAATGGTATAAATCTGACTTGGTTTTATTTCGAAGGAATTACATAATTCCAATATTATATTACTTATGTAGTCACCTAGAAATACAAAAACTATAGAATAGGTAATACTTATTATTATAAAACAAACCTGTGTGGCGTTCTGTTAACTCTTTAACTGCCAGAGTTTGTAAAACTATAGAATCTTGATACATGTACTGAATATTTATACCAAGAAAGGATCGATCCAATCGTGTGACCGCATCTACTTTTAGACAAATCATGGCACCAGTGATTTGCCTAATTATTTCTGACTTCATAATATTATATTCAGTATCTATGTAATTTTGAATTGATTCATTGGTTAAACTGATGTTGTCTTTTTTTGGCAGACCTTCTAGAATGGGTTCTAATATTTTTCTGAATCCAGAGTCACCCATTAACGTAAATGGTCTACCATTTAATGTCACCAACTCAACACATGCCTCAATTAAAATTTCCTTCGACATGGCCACCTGTACTTTATTTATTTCATTTAGTTTTTGTTGGTTTACTTTTTTCGAGGTAAGCTTATGTTCACTAAAACTAAAATATGCTTCTTCGAAGTCGTGGTATCTCATCAAATGCTTTTTCAAATTGGTACCATGATTTCCCTGTAACGAAGAATGTATTCAAACAAAAATCGACAAATTTTCAGGTTAAAGTCGCCTACTTTTAGTTTTGCATCACATATTTTGCAGGTAGATATTTTGTTATTAATAAAATGTTTATGTGCATTGTTTGATGATATTCGTCCCATTTTCTACTTCGCAAATCGCATTAACAGCATTCACTATACAAGTATTCACACAATTGAGAATTGCACAACAAAACAAATCTATTTTTAAAATGGTTGTGGCTAAATTATCGGCTACCTTTTTCCTTTCCCTTTCTGGCTACGGCTTAAAGTAATATTTTATCTTTTTTCAGAACGCGTTGGCCGGCGCGTCCTTCAACTTCCAATAACCTGTTCAGAACCGTAAAAAAACCGAAAAGAACCGAAAAAAATAATAACGGTTCCGGTTCTCAATAAGATTCAATTTCTGAAGAAATAACGGTTTCGGTTCGGTTTTCGGTCCTGAAAAAAATACCGGTTTCGGTCCGGTTTTCGGTTTTTTTTCGGTCCGGTCCGAATCCCTGGGGTGAAGCTGAAGAAATCATTGCTGCTCCTTCAGCATCAGTAGCTATGGATGAGAACATTATCTTTGAATTTACAATTCCTGAAACTAAAGTTTGTATTTTGTTTATTGACATCCACATATAAGTAAAGCTTACAACTGTTGCAGATTGTCTCAAATCAGGTTGAAGATGAACCAGACAAAGAAAACGAAGCTGTAAGGTGATAATGAGAAATAATTATTTAACTAGCCGAAATATTTTTACAGCAATGGACGCAATGAAATCCTCAGTCTCTGCGAATGCCCATTCATCATGCATTGTGTTCTAAAGATTTAGAACAAGGTAAGTAAAGTCATCCAAATCTGAGTTGTACGTCTTCCTCTTTTTAAATTTCCTCTTTAATTACTTAAGTTTCCGACGCAATCTTAAAACTTCCTCGTCCTCAGAAGACGACTAGGAAAAAGATGATTCGTTTTCCACTGATTTTCTTTTGTTATTTCCGATAATTAAAAACACAATAAATTTTTACGTGTGAGCGTAAAGCACCAAATAAGAAAAGTAATGAAGCGTACATGTCGGTAATTGGCGGAGAGTAGAGGGGGTACAGTCTGTAAAAGAGTGGTTTCGTTTATTAGCAGTTTTCTGCTCTAAAAATCGTGAGCCGAGTGCAGAAGTAGGATACTATACCGTTATTCAGAATCATCATCTGAAGAAGGAAACGATAGTACAATTCTCGCTGGAATAATCTAAGTAGATTATTCTCACCATAATAATGTTTTGATTGGCCGGAATATACTATATGAATGACTGAAATTGAACATTTCTATTGGTTTCGAGAAACGTCAAAAAATAATCCCCTTAATATTTAACATTAGCATGATCTCAGGTTGAAGGAAATATTACGAAAAATATCGAAAATATTGGTAATCTCTTTTGAATTATGAAAACTGAAAAAAAATCACTTATTTTTCTATTTTGACGTAAGTATTTGCGTATTAGGTAAAGGAGCCTAAGAGTACGCACTTAACTCTTTGCTGCACGGAGTAAGGAAACACCTTAGTTGCACGAGAAAAATTTTGTTTAAATTTAAACTTAAAAAATATGTTTCTGGGATCAAAACGTTAGTAAAATTAGAAAAAAAAATTAAAATTGTTAAAGTTTTAATTTATAAACAATTAAAAGGAGGTGGTACTGGGGTTGATACCACCATGTAGCATCGTGAAAGAAAAGTGGTTTCACATATTATTATTATTATTAGGCTTAGCTGCCAAATAGGAATATCTCAAGTACGGGCGGTAGGTAAAAAAAGCTAATAAGAATTTTTTTATTTATTTCTTATGAAATGGAATAAAACAATTTTTGTCGTCTTTCAAACATAGTGGGACTTTGCACATTGTGCACATCCATTTGGTCCGAACTTGTTTACTTTTTGTGCTGCAGTGCCCGCATCGTCTTCTGCTCGACCTAATGGGCAAATGTGCTGCTTCCCTTTGGCGAATGTTGTCAGGAACATATGGCTTGTGTTCCCTTATAGCAGCGACAACAGGATTACTTCTTCTTTTCTTAGTGTTGGTATGGGTCAATGTTTCACAAACAAGATGTTCCACCACTTTGCGCCTGAAATTCTTCAGAGTCATTTTCGGTAAACCCAGCTTTTCATAAATAATGTAACTGTTCACAATACAAGCGTCAACAAAGTAAAAGAAAATTCGATGCCACCATTTTCGGCTTTTCCTATCAATTTCGTAGGAGGATTTTTTCTGGTCAAATTTGTCAACAGCGTTCATGTGTGCGTTGTAGTCGGTCAACATAATTGGACAGGGCACGTCTTCAATAGACCCATTTCTGGCTTTACGCTTAACAGTGGTAGTATCTTGAGGATTGTGGAAATTTGAAATCAAAAAAACTGCCCTTTTGTCTTTCCATTTTGTGGTAGCAATTCCTTTGTTGTTAACAAAATAATCATAGTCACCTCTTTTCAGCTGTTTATCGGAACTAAAAGTTGGCAAATGTTTCCGGTTTTTGTTTATAGTACCGCAAGCATTAATTTTTTTATCTTTTAGATCATGCAACAAATTGACAGAACTAAAATAATTATCAAAGTAGATTCTATGTCCCTTATTCTCTAAACCAGAGCATAAATCTTTCACGACGCGTGGTCCTAAAGCCTTCTCTACATTGTTGTCTTGTTTTCCAGTGTAGATCTGAAACTTACTCAAATATCCTGAACCATCCGCCAAACACCAAACCTTGAAACCTCTCTTTATAGGTTTTTTGGGGAGGTACTGTTTAAGGGAACTTCGTCCTTTAAACTTAATCATGGATTCGTCGATTGCACCACATTCGGTTAGTGAAAAGCATGCTTCAAACTTTTGCTGCATAACATCTAAAAAAGGCCGCAATTTGAATAATTTATCAAAACCTGGTTGACCTTTCTTTGGCATAACTTCATTGTCATTGAGATGCAAGTTACCAAGTATCCAACTAAATCTGTTTACATTCATTAGTTGACTTATATATGGGTCATGAAGATCAGGGGATGAAGACCAATGATCTCGGTAACTCGGGAGAACTTTAATTCCCATTAATATGTTTATGCCCAGAAATGCCATAAATTCACACTTTGTAGTTGGGGTGATAGAAGTTGACTTTGACTTTTGGAGGTTTGTTTGGTTGGCATAAAGGTTTGTCTGAAAGACGATATGTTCCAAAAGGCCATCGTCAAAGAAGACTTGGAAAAGTTTCCCAGGAGTTGGATTATTTAAGTTTTTAATAAAATCGGCAACTCCACTATCTTGAACAAACGGAAAACATTGATTTGAGGCTTGTGTCTTGTTCCGGATAAATGTCTCTGGTGCAGGTTTGGTCGTCGAGGTAGATGGGGTGTCATTAGTCCGAGCATTAGCCCTTCTAGACTGTAATTGAGCAAGCGGTATATCGCGGGTGACCTGGCAATACCTCCTATGTTGGTTAAGAGACGTTTTACAGGAGACAAAAAAAACTTGTCAATTTTGTAGAGAGATGGTATTTTTCAACAATGTGAAGTAGTTATTCTTTAATGTTTATTATATTATACTAAATTTAATAAAAACGCCACAATCTTACCCGGTGTTATTTTTATATAACTTGTGAGGTATTGCTATTCATGTTTTTACAGATAGGAGTTTTTGCTACAGAAATTTGTTCTCATAGGAGAATGCAGTATCTAATTAAGTATACAATTTTTTGAATTTAGCAAGCTTATACAGAAATTTTTGTAGAAAAATGATACCCAAAACGTAGGTTTCTCAAGGGAAAATTAATACATGGTAATAAACTTTAAAACAATACTTTAATGTAAACATAAACATGAATAAAATAAACTAAAACTAGCTGCAAGTTTCATAATCACTAAAAAAAATAAATTGGCGAGGAGAATTATTCATGTAAAATATTATCGTAGAAAGCATGTGTGTCTTTTGGCAGAACGAGTTTAAGTTCTTGAAGGTGGTTCCATTTATCCAAAGCAATTTTAGAAGGTCCCTGCAGTAACTGAGGATAGTTCATAATAGGAGGCATACATTTTGGCCTGCAAGGAAGCTCATTAAATAAATCTTGGCCATAATCCAGTTTAATATCTATGGTTCCTTGTGGATTATACCTAATGCACTTAATATCATTAATCACAGGGTCAGAAGTCTTACGACCTGGTCTTAAAGAAGTGTATCGCAAAAATTTGGAAGCGGAATAATCCTTAAAAAATGAGTACTCCAGCATTTTAGTTTTATATGGCGTGGGGGTTTTTCGAGCTTCTTTTGATATTGTCACATAGTCACTTGGTAAATGAATTTCTTTGTGCTTAAGACGTCTTTCTATCACACTATGTACAGAGTCACACTCCATTTGGGTGTGACCTGGTTCTAAGTATTTTTGAAAAATAAAAGTTTCGTGTTTCATTGCAAAATTGAGTAAAGCGTTGGCCAAGACATTGTTACGATTCTGGTAACCACATCCGTCCGAATACAATACAATTGGCTTTTTCATTGGAGTTATGCAATTTTCTTCCAAATAGTCTATAATGCAGGTGGTAAAAGTAGATGCTTTAAGTAATCT